CAATTTTTAACACAAATGCTTGTGCATTTTGAAGCGTAAATATACATATATGGTCAACGAAATGAGTTGACCACAATGTCACGTGTATACTCCATATACAAGACGTTTCGAAAACGTCTCGAATATATGTGTGCATATGTAAAGTATATGTGCACATTTTAAAATACTGATCGTACATCATAACTTGCATTGGGACTCATGGTTTCCAAATGAAGTACTTGAGGGAAAAAATAATGAAAATAGAAGAAATTGATCATTTTACACACGTGTATATTAGTACATATTGATCATTCATATCTCATCAATGTCATATATCTTATGCTAAATAACAAATATGTATGGACTTATTGGAAAATAGTATCATAAAATAATAACATTACATATTTATTTAATTTAAGTCTAGTTACTGAAATTAAAGAAACTGGAAAACGATACAAAACATTATAGAAAATTTTCTACTAACTTATATCTAGCTTACCGTTATGCAATGGAAAACGTGTAGATGCCGGACCAAAACTGAAATAGACATCCAAATAAATTTAGTTGTAGTGAATACAAGGAAGAATTCGAAAATGTCGTTGAGAACTTCTTTGGTGCAAAACTGTGCAAACTCAGTTTCCTGCAATTATTATTAAACAATGTGCCCCTCAATTTTGATTGTTACTTTGTCTTCTATTTGCAATAAACGGAAGGCATCATAAACTCGTTCTGCTCCATGATGCTGCAACGTTCTTGAATTGAAGAGATGCAACGAGGGCTCAACTCAATCTTGACCAAGATTTTCCTTTCCAAAATTCAAAAAGGGTGTCGGGGTAAAAATCATGAAAGTTAAAAAAAAAAGAATTCATTTCAAACAATATACCCAAACACAAGCAAAACTGCTATACCAACATAAACCCAAATGCTAGAATGATTTTAAAATATCCTAAAACCCCATATTTAAAGCAATAATCTAAGAATGAAGAAATACAATTTATTATCATTGTCCAAATCCTCAAGAATCCTCCTCATGCACATAAACTACCAATAATTAGACATTAGTTAAAACCGTATGAAATTCACCTATATTCTAAATATGAACAAAAATAAAGCAAAATAATAGATATAAAGCCAAGATTTGAAACTTCATCCATCGACTGCCTCAAAACATGTTTGAAGCACCAAATCTTCTACCTCGAAACCCACCCATTGCAAATCCAAAGAACTCTTTAAAAACTGCAGAAACTTCGTAAATTGTAGAGGACCTAATGTTGGTTGTGCTCAATTTTCTGGATGAGATGGAGGCAGATGGTTCCAGCTTGCTGTGTGTAGGTCTCGGAAGCTCCGACATCGGTGTGAAAGAAATTAGAAAAGAAAATGAACAAGGGGTGTTCACGTTGCATGTGAAAATGAATGAAGTGATGGTAGTGTGAAGATGAAAAAGATAAGGTATGTTGACGATAGAAGATTGCGACACGTGTCCAGCAAAAGTTAGCCTCTTTTATATTATCGTGCTAATGATTTTTGGATGAGATAGATGCAGATGGTCCTGGCTTGCTGTGGGTAGGTCTTGGAGGCACCGACATCGGTGTAAAAGAAATTAGAAAAGAAAATGAACAAGGGGTGTTGACGTTGCGTGTGAAAATGAACGAAGTGATGGTAGTGTGAAGATGAAAAAAAAAAAAGAAGGTATGTTGACGATAAAAAATTGCGACATATGTCTAGCAAAAGTTATCCTCTTTTATATTATAGTGATATATATATATATATATAT